TGAACAACTCCTATTAGCTAGGTTAGATGATGCAGACACAGTGCAAAACAAAAGAGCCGCTATTACAGAACTTGTCTCACGAGGGAGATCGACAATAAATTAAATAAATAAGTAAAAACATATAATCCAGGGCATGATGGTAAGTGGAGTATGAGAAAATGAAGTGAGAAGCAGGATACAGACTTCCAGGAGCAAAGAGATGACATTTTGTACCTGACAGCAGGTCTCCTGGGAAGATGGCACATGAACTACGACCTGAAGAAGGTGAGAGGGAGCCATGGGGCCAACTTGCCTGTCTGGTAGAGGGAATGGCTGCCAGCCCAGTAGGTTCAAGGAGAATGGAGGAGACTACCCAGTGAGGACAGAAAGGATGAGAAAGGAGTGGGAAGAGATGACACCACATGGGTAGCAGGGTGGAACCACATCCTGGAGGGTCTTATCACCCCTGGTGAGAACTTTGACTTTCATGACGTAGAAGGTGGTAAGCCACTGGAGGTTTTGAGCAGAGGAAGACTGTGATCTGAAATATACATTATCAAGATCATTCTGGTTGCTGTTTAAAAAGAGGAAATAAGTTGAAAGGCTTGTGGGACTGTAGTAGAAGCAGGGTTTTTTGGTTTTGCTTGTGTTTGTGTTTTGCAGAGGTGAGCAGGGGTTGGTGACAAAGGTTAGCAGCTTGATTTTGGACACGCTGAATTTAAGATGCCCAAGAGACAACATCCAAGTAGAGTTGTCAACAGTCAGTTGGACACCTGAAGTCTATGGTTCCAGGGAGAGTTCTAGGCTGGAGTTCTCCCTATAGGAGTTGCTGGCGTAAAGACAATATTTACAGCTCAGAAGATGCAATGAGACCAGTCAGGAGGCAAGTAGAGACAAAAAGGGGAAGACAGTAAGAGCCAACTTGGAATCAATCCAACACTGAAGACTTGGGTCATGAGGAAGAATCATCAGAGGAGACAAGGTAGGGGCCGATAAGGAAGGAGGAAAACCAGGTTTAGGCTTTAGAAGTGAAGTGAGGAGTCCCTGAGGCCAAGTGTCCTTGATGACAAAGTCAGGTGAGGATTGATCACTTGTTATATCTAATGCCTTGACTTGGCCAGTTATCCCTCAGCTTCTTGGCTCCCTTCTTCAGCATATACCTAAACTGCCACCACCACCACCATCATCATCATCATTATTATTTGCATCCCTCTCCCTCCACTCCACCAGCATTTCCACTTCTCTGCCTCTTCTAATAAAAACTGTGCACACTTTTAACCACCTGTTCCCCGCACCAATGCGACCAAAGGCCCACATGTAGTCGCCTAACACAGAAACCTCTTCATAGAGGAAGGGGAGTTACAAGGAGAGTGAAGGCTGTGAGTTTTGTTAACTATATGTTTTTTAAAACATTCTTTTGTGTGTTTGTTGACTAAAAATAAAACCGTTCAAATGCACTAGCGACCAAAGACATACAGATTAAAAATAAACTGGCCACCATTTTTTTTTTTGAATCAAATTGGCATTTAAAAAAACATAGCCCGTATGGGCAAGACTCAGCAGACATTCTCATATACTTCTGGTGGAAGTGTTAATTGGTAAAACTTTTCTACAGGGCAATTTGGCAATATATAAGAATAATTTTTTTAAAGATCCTTCTTCACACCTTTTGGTCCAGTAATTCTGCTTCTAGCAATTTATTGTAAGGAAATAATCAGAATGCAAACCATGATTTCTATAAAAGGATGCTCACTTTAGTGTTCTTACGGAATTTAGGATACAAAATTTTATAACATTCTATATTCTGCTAGAATATAGAAACAATACCTTAGTGTTGTTTCTTATAAAATTTATAGGATTAAATAAGCAATTAAAATAATATTTAGCACTGGAGCTCAAGCTGATGAATTATGATATTGTCACAAAAGAAATACTCTGCAGCAAGAGAATATTGTGAAGATATGAGAATATATCAACAAGGTATTGAAATCAAAACAAAATCTGAGGGTTTTGAAGGGGCGGGGGGTGGGAGGTTGGGGGAACCAGGTGGTGGGTACTGGAGAGGGCACGGATTGCATGGAGCACTGGGTGTGGTGCAAAAACAATGAATACTGTTACGCTGAAAATAAATTTAAAAAATTTAAAAAAATTTAAAAAGTAAAAGAGCTACAGAATGAGATTTATGGTATTATCCTAACTTTGTAAAAAAAATTTTGTTTTTAAATCAAAGAGATGACACCTAACCTCTTAATAGTAATTACTGGTGTACTTACTTGAGATTACTGGAGTTTTTACCCATTCAAAAATATTTATTGAGCACCTGCTATGTGACAGGCACTTGGGATGGACGGTGCTTAGGATACATTAGTGAAATCTGACAGAACCTGGGCTTTTGTGGTGCTTACATGCAATCAGGAAGGATGCTGACAATGAACAATAATAAATAAAGGGATTATATGTCTTTTGGGAAGTGGTAAGTGCTAAAGCAAAAACACAAAGCAGAAAAAGTGGGATTGGGATGGCGAGTGCTGTGGCTACCATTTTAAACAGGATGCCCAGGAGAGCTGGCATTTTGGCAGACTTTATGGAGGTGAAGGGATCAGCCACGTGAATATTGGGAGAAAAGTGCTCCACATAGAAAGATGAGCAAAAGCAAAGGCTCTGAGGTGGTTGCATATGCCTGAAAATCAGCAAGGACGCCTATGCGGCTGGAGTTGAATGAACACGGTCATAGGAAAAGAGAAACCAGACCGGACAGAATTTACCAGAAGGCTTTGGGAATGCTGGGAACAGACAGGTTAAGAAGCTATAGCAGTAATCAAGATGAGGGATGACAGTGTTGGGAACAAGGGAGAACAGAGAATATAATGAGAATAGGACAGATTCTGGGTAGAGTTCAAAAGTAGAGCCAACAGAATTTCTTGATGCTTTAGATATGGGGACAAAGAAAGAAGGGCCTCAATGGTTTTGGGCCTGAATGACTCGGAGGACAGCGTTATCATCAAGTGAGATGGAAAGACTATGAGTAGAGCAGATTTGGGAAGGGGGGGTTTGGGGGAGATGAGGTGTTGAGTTTGGATGGTAAGTCTCTGTGAGGGGAATGTCCAAGAGGCCACTGGGTATAAAAATATGGAGTTCCCAGGACATGTGTGAGCTAGATGACAATATCCTTGGGAATCATCAGCATACAGATGGCATCTGAAGCTAAGGAATGGGTGAGCTCACCAAGGCAATAGATGGACAAAGAGGAGGTCCAAGACTGTGTCCTGGGGCGCTCCCACAGCAGCAGGTGAAGGAGACAAGCAACAACCAATGAAGGATTTGTTGAAAAAGTGACCAGTGAGGCAGAAGAGAAATTAAAAGCTTGCACAGCATTTCAAATGCTGCTCAAATAAGGGTACTGGGTTCAATAAGCAGACAAGGGAGGATGGACACTGTTTAGAAACGTGGAGGTCAGCAGCACACTGGTGGCCTTGGTAAGAGCCATCATGGAGGAATGCCTTAAGAGAGGAACTGAAGGAAAGTCTTAGAGACTAGGAGGATAGAACGCTTTCTGAGGAATTTTGCAGCAAAGAGATGGGTGGTGGTTAACTGGGGAAGTGAGAGATAAAAAAAGGTTATTTTTTCTTTTGAGATGGAATAAATAGCAGTATGTTTGTATGCTGATGGTGAGCCTAGCCAATCCACTGTGATCATTAACATTCGTTCTCAAGGTACCAAGATGGCAGCAGATGGTACAGCTGGGAAGTCACGCGAGCACTGCCAGGACAACGCGCTCCCCTGCTGTCCCACTGGGGGAAGTAATCTGGTCGATTCTTTTACCTGGAATCCCTGCCTCTCCAACCTCGTCACCGACTCAGGAAGTTTATGGTTAAAATATAAACATTCTGGGTCAGCATGACCTCAGAGAACAATGATCATAATTAAGGTGCCCCCCATCACACACCAAGAGGCTTTCACCCCCATTAGGAAGCATGTGGCTTGGGAGTTTCAAAATTACAGACTGAGCAGAAACCATGAAATGCAAATCTGTGCTAGGAAAGCCTATTTTACAAGAAAAAAAAATCAGAGAGAAAGAATAAATTTTAGCCCTTTGACCCTACTCTTCAAAGAACTTGTAGCCTGGGAAACCAAAGCACATTTTGGCTGCTTCTTCACCAAGAGGCAGGATTACAAAGAGAAAAAAAAACAGAAATGCGCTGTGGCTACCTGCGTGTTGGAAGGTTCTGCATACGTCAGCTGGAACTCAGAGCCTACATTTTAGCATCCCTCCCCACCCGTCTGCCAGCACATGCCTGTCCTCCTACACACCTAACATTCCCACTAGGATGCTGTCTGTTCTGTTCCTCCCTCCCATGGGCCCAATATCATCATTCTCTTTCCCTCTTTCTCCTTACAAAAACCAGTGCTCAAAAAACAATGCCAGAAGGAATGCTGGTTTAGAACCGGTTGTTTTGTATTAGTTCTCATTCTCCAAATGAAGAAACCAAGTCTATAAAGGTGAAGCGAAATGTCCAAAAGCCAAGAGCCCATTAGTGCCAAAACTCCAAGAAAAATGTTTTGATCGACTCATTTACCTTGAGATGTACTGATTGCTCTGTCCTCTGACCAAGGTCCCTTCTAGCAGAAGCCGCCGCCCTGAGCCCAGGGAATGGATAACGGAAAGGAGGAAAGGAGGGGCCACAGTAGCGGGAGGATGCTGTCGTTCCAGCTATAGGCCACCTGCTAAGGAGCTCCCGGGTTTGTCCTCTCCAGGGGTTCTCAACAGGGGATGACTTTATGCCCCCTTCCCCTGCTGAGGACATTCGGCAGTATCTGGAGACATTTTTGGTGGTCACAACTAGGGGAAAGGCACTATTGGCATCTAGTAGGTAGCAGCCAGGGGTCCGGCTGAACATCCCACAGTGCACGGCACCCCCCCCCCACACCCTGCCATTTATATAACCCCAGACGGCAAACCCAAACCAGAAACTCCGGCTTACTCTAAAGGAAAGAGAATGGAAGAGAGAAGAGAACATTACCAAAAGTTGGCTCTGGAGTAGTGTTCCACGTAGAGCTGTTCGTCAGAAAAGGGGGCCAAGTGGATGTCGCCGAATGTCGGGAACATCATTCCTAATGATCAAGAGACAACAGACCCAGACGTTGACGCGCACCGCCTTCTGACTGCAGGGGACACTCACCCACCACTGGACCAATGCCACTCTTTCGCCCTATTTCAGTTATTACCCAAGAGGCTGAAGTACAATTTTGCCTCAAAGCAAGGATTAAAAAAATTAGGCAGAAGATTGGAGGAAAACTAAGAAGAATCCTAACGCAGTCACAAAGCTATGTTATGATAAAAGCTTGCAGAGTCTTAGGAGAGGCATTTAACCCGGCGTCCTGCCTTCTCTGCTGTCAGCTTTTTCCTTTCTGTACGCCCTGGGCTGGGAATTCTACGCACTTTCTTCATTTTTTAAAAATCCTATTTATTGTAAAAACAGCTCTGAATATAATTCACCTCCAATCATTCTATCCCATTATCATTTCCATTCTCAGACTCTGTCCATGTGTAATCATGTTGACGGTCTTTTTCAGTGCTGTTGGAAGCTCTGCTTCTCTGGGGGGGGGTCACCATCCTCCTCACTGGGACACCCACTCTTGTTTGCTGTTCCTGACCTTCACAGTCACCAGGGGGAAGGAAAGGCAGGTTCTGCAGTGGGCAGACAAACACCTAGCCGGGCATGCCTGAAGCCCAGCGTTCCCAAGCGGGCCGACACAGCAATCAATGTTATTATTCTTGTCATTTCCAGGGAGACTCTTTCTCATAGTCTTTAATGATCCGGCACATAAAAGAAAGATGAACTACTAACCCTACCTCAGAAGTGAGTATCGCCTTAGAAACTGGAGGTGCTGTCACAAAAGTAATACCTAAAATTTCCTGATTATGTTGATTTTGCCATGATCTTTTCTATGGGTTTTCCTGTATTGATTCATTTAATCCTCATCACAAAATACAGTAAGTTCTATTATCACACCCCCACTTTACAAATGGGTAAACTAAGGAACAGGGAACTTGAAGTGACTCAGCCACAGTCACAGAGCTAGGAAGTAGAAGGGCAAATCCAGGGGCGGAGCCTCATCTGTGAGGCCACAGCCCACACACTAACTATGCTCCCTTCGATGCCTGTTTAAATAGAACAGATTGGCTGTTTTCCTTTTTTTTTTTTTTTTAAGATTTTATTTATTTATTTGACAGAGATCACAAGTAGGCAGAGAGGCAGGTAGAGAGAGGGGAGGGGGAGAAGCAGGCTCCCCGCTGAGCAGAGAGCCCCATGCGGGGCTCAATCCCAGGACCCTGGGATCATGACCTGAGCTGAAGGCAGAGGCTTTAACCCACTGAGCCACCCAGGCGCCCCGTAGCTGTTTTTCTTTTTAAAGATTTTATTTATTTATTTGAGAGAGAGAGCACAAGCGGGGGGTGGGGAAGGATAAAGGGAGAAGCAGACCACACTGAGCAGCGAGCCCCACACGGGCCTCAACCCTGGGACCCTGGGACCATGACCTGAGCCAGACGCAAAGCCTCAAACACTCAACTAACTGAACTTCTAGTAGGTAGAACACCCAGAACAGACTGTTTAGGGCATTTTCAAAGATGGAGAAAAAGCACGATTGTTAACAACATTCACATGTGCCCACCTGAATCTCACGCACGGGTTTCAAAACAATAATGACTGCCTAGTGGGTTCTTAATTTTAAGACAGAAGGATATTAAGCAATCTTAGGAAAGCAATATGTATCAGTATTTGTGTAAACGTGGGAAGTTTCCGAGGTGCTCTGAGCCTCAAGCCTAACAGGAATTCCAAGGAGATAAAATGGAGGGGAGGAGGTCATCAAAGGTAAAAATACAAGAGAAATTCTCATAGTTGAAGAAGAGGAATCTTCTGATTAAACATTCTCACTCCATGCCCAACACAAGAATTTTAAAAGTTTCACAGTAAAGCTAGAAATAAATCAATATACTGAAAGCATTCAGAGGGGAAAATGCTGTCACTCTAAAGGATCAGGAGTCAGAAGGCCACTGGACCACTCAGCGGCAACACTGGAAACCAGAAACCAAAGAGAGAGGTCTTAAAAATACTGATTAAAAATTGCATCCAAGTTCAAATTCTCTACCCTGCAAAATGGTAATACAAAGGGTCCATAAAAAGTTAACTTCTCAAGTACTTTTTCTCCAAAAGCTAAGGAACAGGGAACTTGAAGCGACTCAGCCACAGTCATAGAGCTAGGAAGTAGAGGGGCAAATCCAGGGGCGGAGCCTCATCTGTGAGGCCACAGATGAAGAGGACGCAGAGGGAAGACGACGAGAGAATTATGATGGGAAGTCAAATATGGCGGGCGTGAGGCGGAGCTAGAGAAGAACCACGGCACGTGGGGGAGAGGAGAATAGAGCATCCACAGGAGGAAGGCTCCTACTGACTAAATATTGATTGGATCTGTTAGACTCCTTAGAGCATGGAAATAATTAGTCACAAGCATATCAAAAACCAAGCTAGTGAAAACGAACTCCAAGAAAAACAAAAGGTTTCATGAGAAAATCGAAAATCTCATGCACCCACTTTGCTACCTGGCTCAGCTCGGAACGATATGTACATTGTCATAATAACCTAAGCACTGATTACGGATTCGACCAAATGATGATCTCGGTCCGTATTTCTTTATATTCAACTGCGTCCCAAAAGCCCTGGGAAGTTACAGTTTTTGGCACATTTGCAGCAACATCATCTGATGGCAAAATCTGACCTGAACTGACATGAGTTTATTTACAGTCTTTATTTATCCCCTTTGGTATCCATATTCATATGGTTTGTTGCAGAAATATAATGTGTTTCATCACACGGTGTGGCCTCAGACTCCACTGCAGGCATTAAGCAATCCGCAGCGTAGGAGTCTATCACCGTTCCCAAGTCCTTCAGATTCTCGATTCAGAGATCCACCTGGCCTCCAGGGTCTGGCAAAGGAATTGGGGATGTGCATGAATATATGGAGGAGAGAGGGGCAGGGAAGGAGAGTCCACCCAGCAGAGAAGAAAATGCTATGTAGGAGAGCACATTTCTCAACCAGAGAGTAATGAAAATAGCAGTATGATAATTTTGTATCAAAATATGCAGGTAAGTCAGGGGAAGAAGTCCCAAATGGAAGGCAGAGGGAAAGCCTTCAGTGAGTGTAGTCGTCTCAGGACAGGGAGAGCTGGGGCAAAACGGGGTTGCTATTTTTCATGAGAAGTCTTTCTGTCATTATTTGGTATTGTAAATTACATCTTATTTTGGTGGAAAATAAAAATAACTAGAAAAGTTATTTTTCTGTGGCTCAGTTGGTTGGGTGTCTGCCTTCGGCTCAGGTCAGGATCCCAGTGTCCTGGGATCCAGCCCCTCTCTGTCTGTTGCTCCCTGAGCTTATGCTCACTCTCTCTCTCTGACAAATAAATAAATACAATCTTTTAAAAAAAAGAACTGGAAAAAATCAAGCCTCCTGCCCTCAGGAACACACGGGTTAAAAAGAAGATAAAATCAGTATTCATTTCTCCTCGTCTGGTTAAAGATACACAGCCCAGTAAAAGTTTCGTAACTATTACAAATATCTGGGAGGGGAAGGAGTGGCCGATATTAAGCCTCGATATTCAGTCTGGAGGTACCCCACAGATGCACATGAATTAAGCATGTTCAGAATCTCACCGACAGCCAAGTACCTAGACATTTTGGAAAAAAAAAAAGTCCAGACAAAACTATAAAAATTCCTTCTGATGGGCACTGAGTAGGAAATCCAAGCAGGCTGGTCCTTTATTACCTCACTTCCACAGTTCAATTTCGTTGCATAAACACAAAGCTTCCGAGCCCATCCCGGGCTGTTTCACCACTGGCATGAGAATGCAGTTTCTGACATTAAATACATTTTGTCTACTTATTTATTTTTGTATGAGGTTCAAGAGTCTATCTCCGAACCCCTCTATTCTGAAGCATGCAGGGAATTACGGACGAGCCTCAAGCTTTCCTTACCTGCCCGCACTGCTGTGCGTATACTGCCTGACGTGCTGAATCAGAGCTGCCCTGGTGGTCACCGTTTTGTCCCCGCTGGCTACCAAGGCAGGGAGACACATCCTGGGTAAGATGCCACAATTCTAATGGGAGCTGCCACTTTTAAAACTGACCAATTACTTTCTGTGTTTTTCTTGAAAAACCATTCTGTGAAAATGTGTCCCCTCTCCCTAGTAAGGGGTGGAAAGATAGTGTGTGTGTGTGTGTGTGTGTGTGTGTGTGTGTGTGTGTGCAGGACTCAGGAGTGTGGCCTTCAGGGTCAGACAGACCTGGGTTCAAATCCCTGCTCTGTCATTTACCAGAGGTGTGTCCTTGCCAAGTTGTTTTCTCCCGCTGTGCCTCAATTTTCCCTTCGTAAACTGGGGGTGGGAATAGTGCCTCCAGGGAAGTCAGGTCTCAGTCTTGGTACTGTTGATATTTGGGGCTGGATAACTCTTGGATGGGGTAAGGGTCTGTCTTATACCCCGAAGGATGTTTATCAGCACACCTGGCTTTTCCCACTGGATGATAATATTACCCCTCCTGCACTGTGATAACCCAAAATGTCTCCAGACACTGCCAAATGTCCCCTGTGGAAGGAATGTAACATCACCAAGAACCTCAGGACTGACCTTCCAAATACATTAAAAACCTCCATCACTCACCCTTGGGAAGGTTTCCACAAATTAATGTATGCAGATTGCTTAGCACATGTAGATACTTGCAAAGCACAAAAAGAATACTGGATGTGTACTGATGTATATGTATATGTACTAATCAAGTATATGTACTGATCATAGGGAAAGGGAGACACGGTAGGAGAGGAATATGTCGGAAAGAATGAGCAGGTCTCAGAGAGTTTCTCATGTTATAGAAAGCCAACCCTTAAAGGGGCTTGAGAGATCACTTTTCTTAGAGATTATTTTTAAAACCCAGATGAGAAAACCAAAGTCAACAGGTCAAGTGGTAGGTGAAGTTCATTAATGAAGACAGTGATAGAAACGGGACAGAAACACATAGCTCTGAATTGGTCCTCTGTACCATATTTACTATCATGCAGCACGCAACCCACACCTATGGCTTCACGGCTGGAGACTAGCTCATCTCTTGTGAAAGATTAAGATGAGAAAATTTTAAAAAATGTTACAACAGAAATGCCCTGTCTTCCTTTCCATCCAAAATTAAATATGGGGAAAGGAGGAGGGCAAAGTCTTCTGAACCAGGAATTGGCCAACTCACCATTCGCTTTCAGCCATTTTTTGGAATGAAGGTAACTCTCCAGCATCCTTTCATTGAAGAGCATGTATCCCATCGGTTCGGAAATGATCACATCCACAGCCTCAGGAAGAGAGATGTCTTCAATTTTCCCTGGCACAACAATGATCTTGTCGGAAAGGTGGTTATTTTTCACCAGCATCTGAAGAAGATCAAACAGGGAATCAGGACTGTCACACAGACTCTTGCAAAAAAATCAGTTTTACAGATTGAGGGTTGACACAGTGATAGGGAGGAGAGGAAAGTGACATATCTATGTCTCTAAAATGCTTTAAAAAATAACCCGATTTTTCTTATTGTCCACATATTTCATGTTGACTACAGATAACTTAGAAGATACACATATGAAAGATACAAAAACATCCATAACTGTACCCCATACAAATAATAACTTTTGATACTTTGATGTCTACCCCTCCAGACTCTTTACACAAACACACACGTGTGTGTGTGCATGTGTGTATGCATATATATGTGCATGCAGTGTTGGGGAACCGTTTTTTAAATTAAAGGTTTCTGTTTATTTCCCATCATCCTACCTGGAACGAAGATGCCAAAAAGCACTGGACAGTAATCGTGCAAAATTAATGATCCTGATCCTCATTAAATTGTCCTTTGGTCTTTTGATTCCAAAAATAAATAATAGCATGTTCATTTATTTTTCTTTAGAAGTACATTTTACAGTTATGTACTCATTTTTCTTTGATGTCCTCTGCATTCTATTTAATAATTTTGAATTCCCTTAAAACTGGGACTTTGAAGAGAAAAGTATTTATTGTACTTCTAATATATTTCTTCTTAATGCCAAATATGAGAAAGAGATTGCATTATTACATTTATGTCTTTCTACTGCCTGAAAAACATATTTCCTAATAAACCTCTTGAATGCACCAGCATAAATATACCCAGCGCACTGTTTGAGCTGTGGCTCCCTGAGACTCCTAGAGGTTTGCTCATTGTATTTACACACAGAGACCTTCCATTTTGCATTTTCATAACTCAATCCCTTTCTTCATCATAAATGCAGCACGCCACGCATTTGTCATGAGTCAGTTGTATCTTTTCCATTTCTGATCACTTCTTCACAGAGCTAGGGTTCCTTTCACTTTGAGCCCCTCCTTCTAGGGTGCTCCTTACCAACCCATGCCCCACAAGCTTATTAAATGTCTTTTCTATTTATGCTTTTTAAAAAAGAAACACATTAATCTCTGATCTAAGGAAAAACAATGGAAGAACAGTGTTTGAACATGTCATCCACTGTCAACCTTGACCCTTGCCCAAAGACTCCCAGAATTCTGCTCTATCATCTTCCCACTCAAGAAGGTCTAGTTCATGGGGCTGGTGGGGTTCTCCACTATGGAGACAAAGCCTAAAGGTTAAAGCTTTTGGTGCCCTGCTCTTCTCTGCACATTCTGTTCTCAGGAGGATCCACTCATTGGCACAGCTCTGCTGGGGCTCCAACGTGGATAGGTGCCCAACTACAGCCTTTGGTTCTCTGACTCACCTGAGCTCCATTATCACCGGACTTTTCCACCACCACGCTTTTTCATCTCAATATCAACAAGTAAGGAGCCCACCTCAGCTTCTTCTAGAAAACTAACCATTCCCCTAGGCTTTCTTAAAACTTCTATACAATCTTTTATTTCCTTGAATTCCTTTTTGGTCACGAATATGATAATCCTCAATATCCTGGGGGCAGAGTTGCTTCCCACAGACAATCAGTGACTATGTTTTCTTATTTCTACCTTCCAGATATGTCTCATTTCCACCTTCTCCTTGCTGCCTGCATCAACTTGTCCAGTTCTTAATAGCTTCCAATATAGAATTTAAAAATAACCCTTATATAATAAAAAGAACAATAGTAGTGCTTACTTCATAGACCTCTTGAGGAAAAAAAAAACAAGACGAAGCATATTAAGGACTATGTAAGTGTTAAAATTATTATTACTCTCTCTTATTTTTATTAAGTAGTACCATTAACTAAAAAAGAGAAATGCAGATGAGCAAAAACATGAAAATAAAGATCATTTATATTGCCCTATCCAGATGTAGGCGAAGTATATGCCCCAGCAGACATGCGAGTATATCTCTGTTTATAAAAACATTAGTTTGCAGCTTGAGACATTTGCGCTGGGGGTTCAGGCCACAGTAGATCCTGAGTAGCTCCATGGGGAAAAGGGACATTGGTATCTCAGTCCTGGCATACCTCTTAGGAAGTTCTGTAGTAAAAATCATTCCATAAAGTTTTTTACAACAAAATTTCTATCAGCTATATAGTATTTCATAAAAATATCTTGATTCATTTGATCAACACCATGTTATTGAACAATCTGGTTATATTAAATTTTTCATTATGACAATAGTGCATTGACAAACATCGTAGTTAAATATGGAAGCATACTTTGCATTGTTTCCTTCAAATTTAAAGAGGATGGAAACTGGAAAGATTTCTGATACACACTGCTCCGCAGACTACCACAAAGGGATTCCATGTCTAGATTTTAAGCTCCTCCTAAATTCTGCTTGTGGGGTATGAGACAGTCTACTTGTTGGTGTATAAAACTACTCATCCACTTGGACCAGAATGCTGGAAGGGGAGCTTTTCTAAGTTTTGCTGGAGGGACCAATATGAAAGGACATCCAAGTGAGCCTGGTATTACCTTATACGGCTAATTTACAGAAAATAATCCTAGGCTACTGAATCCTCAGGAACGTCAGAGATATAACAAGGCTTTGGAGAGAGGATTGTGTGAGCTGTCAGAAGGGCAATTTGAGATTCAAAGGAAAGAATTCTGAGCCTCATTATTTTCACTGGCAAAGAAGGAAATACCACGTTTTTGGAAGTGGGCACATAGGCCTGGTTGTAAGTCACTGCATCACATGACTTCATTTACTGTAGGCCACATTCAAAGAACACTAGATCAGGAATCTGAAGATAGGAATTCTAGTTCTGCCTTTACCACCAAAGAGCTGGGTGACCTTGGGAAAGTCACTTAAACCCTATAAATTTTGGTCTCCCTCCTTGCAAAATTAAAGTTTAAAACTGGAGTTGTTGGGGCGCCTGGGTGGCTCAGTGGATTAAGCCGCTGCCTTCGGCTCAGGTCATGATCTCAGGGTCCTGGGATCGAGTCCCGCATCGGGCTCTCTGCTCAGCGGAGAGCCTGCTTCCCTCTCTCTCTCTCTGCCTGCCTCTCTGTCTACTTGTGATCTCTCTCTGTCAAATCAATAAATAAAAAATCTTAAAAATAAAACAAAAAAAAAAAAACAAAACTGGAGTTGTTCTCAGACTACTTCAAGTACTCATATTTTATGATTGGAAGAAAGCCAAATTTCCACCCAAATATATTCCTGGAGTCCGTGAACATAGGAGCTTCATGATCAAATAATTTTGGAACTCCTCTATAATATATATCCCACTTACAAATTCAGAATCCATTAGCATATTAATTGCTTTGAAGAATTTTACAGAAAAGAAAACTGTTTGGCTTGGTTAAATCAAAGACAAGCAGTCTTATCTGGTTGCTTTGCAGTTCTTTTTTCATTGAACATTAATTTATCTCCTGCAGAACAATCTTTGGGAAACAAGGAAAGGAGTTCATTTGATAATCCTAAATTTGAATATAATTCTTTGACAAAGATGTCTGAGAAAAGGACATATACTCAACAAATAACAGGTCTAAGCCATGAGAATAGCTAATTCTGGATATCAGATACTCTATTCTCTGAGGCAACATTGCTGCCTTCCTTCACTTTTGGCTACCAACATTCTCAGCACACATAATTTTGTGCTAGCCTGCTGTTTCGTACACCATTCTTCCAAAACTGAAACTCAGTAGAACTATCCTTTCCAGTGGAAAAAATGAGCCTCAACATATCCCTCCACAAGCTGAAAAAGGGCCGCTAACCAGAGGCAGGCTCTGTCATCCGCCATGTCCACTGCTGTACAGATTCTCCCTGTGTGACCTAGTCCTTCTCTAAGAGTTCAGGAAAGAGGGAGGCTCCACTAACAGCTCGTCTCCTCGGACACCATCAAGGTACAAGCAAACCCTGTCTCCTTGGAGTGACACTGGTTTCAAAAACCGTCAGCAGTTCTGTCACTTGTATTAGTTGCTTAAGCTGTGCACATACACACACACACATACACACCATGCAGGCACACCCATGTGCACGTGCACACACGCACATGCTGCACACACACGCACACCCTTTGGTTGTGGCAGCGGCAGAATTCGTCCCTTTAGTATCACTATAACTTCCAGGATAGAGAGGGTAATAATTTCACTTGGTACCCTGCCATTCTTGTCTCACTTAGGGGGCTTTTCATTGAGTTACATGTGTTAAATATGTGTTGCTTATTTGCCTGCTCAGTATGGAAGCTTACTTGGGCTTTGAAGCTAAACTACATGGGAGTATTTAATTATATTCTGCCTCAAAGAGGAGGGAAGAGCAAGTGTTTTGGAGGTGACAGGCTTGGGTGCTGGTGTTGGATTCTCCACCTACTACCCGTATGACTGTGGCCAAGACACAAAATTTCTTGGAAGTCCTTTTATTCACCTATAAAATGAGAATAATAATAATAGCACCAATCCCTTCAGCGTCATTTCAGGATCAAATCAAATGAGAAAGTATAGAGAAATATATCAGTCAAAGAGAACACAGCTGAAATTCAACAAGAGTTTAAAGACAAGATGGGGGCGCCTGGGTGTCTCAGTGGATTAAGCCTCTGCCTTCAGCTCAGGTCATGATCTCAGGGTCCTGGGATCGAGCCCCACATCGGGCTCTCTGCTCAGCAGGGAGCTTGTTTCCCCCTTTCTCTCTGCCTGTCTCTCTGCCTACTTGTGATCTCTCTCTCTCTCTCTCTCTCAAATAAATAAAATAAAATCTTTAAGAAAGAAAGAAAGAAAGAAAGAAAGGAAGAAAGAAAGACAAGATAATAAGGCAATAGAACTGAGGTTAAATAAGAGATTTTAGGTGCAATAAAATAAGTCAAGAAGTAAAGCAACACAATTATGGAATCACACATAACTAACATGCAGGAAGAAAATACTTTGCATTCAAATTATTTATAACCATTTGGCATCAATAAAGCTGAAGAAGTGCTCATTCTGTAACTCAGAAACATTGCCACCTACAAATACACAC